GTTGGAATTGCAAAAATAAATAAAGACAAAAAACATTGTTAAAATGAATAAAGACAATAAACATTGTTAGAAGTAACAATAACAATATTAAAACAAATAAAGACAAAAACCATTGTTAAAATCCAATTCCAGGTTGTACAATATCCTCCTATCTAGTCCTATTGAGAAGGAGAAGGAGAATTACACAGTTAAAAAAGAGTTTTACAAAGCTGAAAAGAAGAGAAACATATATATATATATATATATATATATATATATATATATATATATATATATATATAACCTTAGTAAACAGGAGGAGGATAACAGTAACAGAGTGTTGGAATAAGATTAAGAACACTTTTCCTTTTAACAGTTGCACCAAAAGCTTCAGTCATGTCAAGATCTTCATTCTTCCTGCAGCTGTCTGCTAATTTCCAGTCAAAGTGGTAGAGTAGAGAGGCGAGTGGAAGCTCGAGGTTAGCCAATCCAAAAGTGATACCTGGACATATTCTCCTTCCGGAACCAAATGGAATGTACTCAAAGTCAACACCTCTGTAATCTATTGAACTGTTTAGAAATCTTTCTGGATGAAACCTTTCAGGATCTTTCCAATACTTTGGATCTCTACCAATCGCCCACACATTCACAATCACTTTTGTCCTCACTGGAATCTCATACCCATTGATCTCACATTTCTCCCTGTTTTCCATGGGCAACATCAAAGGTGCTGGAGGGTGTAATCTCAGAGTTTCTTTGATTATTAACTTGAGAAACTCCAATGATTGGATGCCACTTTCATCGACTCTTGTTTTTGTGCTGAAAGCTTTTCTAACCTCATTTTGTGCCTTTCCCATTATTTCAGGGTTCTTCAGCAGCTCTGACATCGCCCATTCTATCACTGTTGAAGATGTGTCGCTACCAGCAGATATTATATCCTGACAGATGATGAACAGTCAATTATCATAAATATAATTTGGGTATGAATTTACTTATTTACTCACCAAGATGATTGCTTTGATATTGTCCATGGTCAATGGAAGCTCAAGGTTGCCATGCTCCTGGAGTTTGAGAAGGACATCAAATAGCAGATGATGATTCAAGTCTACTTTTCCATTTCCTACTTGTTGTGCTTTGTGTTCTTCGATGATGTCATCTAGCATCTTATCGAATCTTTCATGAATCTTTTCAAGTTTTGGCTTGAGCCCACTAAGAAAGGAGATCACTTTAGAAGAAGGATACAGGTCTGTAAGACTAAACCCTCCAGAGATGCCTAAAGCTTCATCAATAAGTGATATCAATGCTTCTTGTTGTTTTAACTTCTTTCCAAAGACTGATCTTGTAAGGATCCCATACGTGAGTGCATAGATATGCTCACTGAGATTGATTGGGGATCCTGAATGTTTGGAGACAGTGGTGATGAGATGAGAGACCTCTTCTTCCCTTATTGGTCCAAGTGATTGAACATGCTTTGCACTTAAAAGCTCTGAATTGCAAATCCTGCGCAGCTGTCTCCAATAGTCTCCATATGGTGAAAACATGATGTTTGTGGATTTGTAGGATATGATATGTGCAGCAAGAAGAAAAGGGCGATTGGCAAAGTTTATATCATTGGTTTTCATAACCTCTTTTGCAGTTTCTGCTGAAGAGGCAATGATGGTTGAATTCTCTCCGAGTTGTAAGTGCATCAATGGTCCATATTTCTGAGCCAAGTCTCTTAAAATATGATGTGGGAGTGGTCCCGCAACATCAAGAATGTTTCCTATGATGGGAAGTTTCCTTGGTCCAGGTGGTAGATTGGGGGGTGTTTTGGATCCCCTCAACACTTTGATTACCATAAGCATGAAGAGTAATGTAAAAAGGGTTTGGAAATAGAAAGCAAACTCCATTCAGGATTTGTATTAGAGATCACTTCAGTTCGGTATCCTTCCTTAATATATATATATATATATATATATATATATATATATATATGTTCATTTGGAAATGGAAAGTCAGTGATTAACACTATGAGCATGCTTCATAAAGAACAAAAATGTGCAAGCTAAGATGCTCTTGTTCATGTCAATACCAATACTAAAAGATAGGTACAACTATGATTATAGATGAAACATGAAACACGCCAAAAAATGCAGCCTAAGATGCTCTTGAACATGTCGATACAGATACTATAAGACAGGAAATTGTGATTTAAGGACAAACCAGAGTATAATATCATAAGGATCTCAGAGTCAAATCATTGACCCTTTCAAGGATCAGATTTCTTGTTCCAACTTCCACAAAACTTGTAGTACAACAAACCAAAACAGAGATGGATTAGAACTAATTACTAAAAAAACATTTACAAACTTTTCAAGACCTCAAAGTCTCTTTTTATTTATTAATCATAGACATAACCTGCATTAAACTCAGAGATATACTGATATACAATATGCCAAACAAACAAGAAGTCAACTCAACAGATATCCCCTGAACCCTAGAATATAATCCCACCTCCTGTTTGTTTAAAAGTTAAAACTTTAAATAACATAATCAGACCACTCACTTATATCTGAAGTATGATCCATTGTAAGACCAGGAATCTTATCAAGCTTAACTGGATTCTGTTTCCCACCAATGAGTTTTGCAGGATTCCCAACAGCAGTAGTTCTAGCAGGAACATCCCTTAACACCACCGATCCTGCCCCTATCTTTGCCCCATCTCCAATTCTAACATTACCCAAAACACAAGTTCCTGCCCCAATCAAAACCCCATCTCCAATTTTAGGATGCCTATCACCACTAATCTTCCCAGTTCCACCCAATGTGACGTTATGCAAAATTGAAACGTTGTTCCCAATTACAGCAGTCTCCCCGATGACTACTCCGGTGGCATGATCAAGCAATATCCCCCGCCCAATCTTTGCTCCGGGGTGTATATCCAATGCACACACCTCCGACACCCTGTTTTGTATCACAAGTGCTACCACCTTTCTATCTTGTGACCATAGCTTGTGTGCTATTCTGTGAGCCTGACACCCAAGAAAACCCTTGAAATTCAAGAAACATTGCACATAACTGATACAAGCGGGGTCCCTTTCCTTTACAGCCCTCAAATCATCTTTAACGGCTGTAACAATCTCTGAATCATCTGTAAGCACACTCATGAAAAGATCGTATAGGGTCCCACTAGGGAGACTTGAATCGCTAAGCTTCACGGAAAGATGATCAGCTAGAGCGCTCTCGATAACATCATGAGACAAGATTGCGCTGAAATAATAGTTTGACAAAATGGGCTCTTGATGAACGTTTGATCGAGCTTCGTCTTTCATTGTCACCCACAGATCCTCATCTTCTTCGTCTTCTCCATCTTTGTGTACAGGGACGGGTTGTGTTTGAATCTCTGAGATGGGTACGCAGGAAAACTGGTCAGGGTAATCGGGTCTGCAGAATTTGGCATTATTGTTATTACATTCAAGAACTTGTGTTCTTGAATTGTGAATACCAACAGACCTCTTCTTGTCTTGTTTTTTGGAGGAATCGACAAAATTTTTCAGTGGGTTTGCTAAGAAAGAATGAGATAGTAGTAATGATCCGAGAAAATGGACAGACATGGAATGAAGATTATTATGGAAAACTGAGGAGATTGTGGAAGGAGAGGGTGTACCGCTATAATGTGCAGTTTTTGAGGCGTGGATAGGGCAAAGACCAGAGCTTTCATGGGAGAAAAAGAAAAAAAGAATCAGAAAAAGTAAACACGTTTGTAAAATATAAAAAAAGTGGAACTTCTGCTTTTGCAAACGTTACGCTTACTAGTAGCGGCGGCTGTGGATGTGTCCAGTAGTGTCGATATTATACAAGATCATCGATGGTCTAAACTAGGTTTAGGTTTATCTTGCAACTACAATATACAATCGAAAAAATTGCAAAAATGGTCATTGAAAATTTGTTATTTTGATCCAAAAAATTCTAAATCAGCATCACACATATAAAATAGGTTTTTTTTGTTGCATTTTAAAATTAAATGGGTTTGAAATGATATTTTTGTCTTTTTTTTATTTGTCTATCCTTTTATTTTTATTTATTTTACCATTTATTAAAATAAAACAAAATAAAATATAAACCTATCCTTTAATAACCTCCCAAACTCCATCCCACCCAAATCCCTATTATATGACTCTCTCTTTTTCTTTATTGTTTCGTCGAAAACTCCTATTTAGACCGAATTTTACCTTTAGCCAGTGGCGGGTCCAGGGAGTTTCGGGCCACTACTCGATTTTAGCTTATAAGTGTAAAACAATGTAAAAAAACTTATTATTTTTTGATACTAAGGTGCAACCACTAAAAAAATATGTACAACTACTAGTATGTGTTGAGTGAAAAAATAAATTAGTGCCACTATTGTTGTAAATTCCTGAATCATGCCCCCGCCTCTGCCTCTATCGTAGGAAACCAACGAAGATGTCCCTACCTAAACCACCACATTCGTCACCTACCAAAACCGCCTTCGTCGACGTCGTCCTTCGTGTTTCTTGACTCCATTATTGATGGAGACAACTGTTAGGGTTCCGTCGTTGCTGCCTCGCTCGCTCTTTCTCCTTTAACGACCAAGGTGGTTTAGGGTTTGCAAACTCTAACTTCGTTCGGCAACGGCTTCTAGATTTGAAGGACGACAAGGAAGAAAAAGATGACATGTGTAACAACCGTCTTCAGGTATTAATTCTTTGACATCAACTTGTTGGGTTTTATTAAAAAACTAGGCGAATACCCGCGCGTTGCGCAAAATACATAATATATTTGAAATCTTTACAAATATATTTTTTTTAAATATATCAATGACGTTGTTGTTAGCTCTTATATAATAAATCTTATAATAAGTTGGTATAAACATTGTTTGTTTTGAGTTATGTGGTAATGTACACATCTTTTAAAATTCTATAATCTCAACTGTTTCATTTGTCTCTACCTGCGAGTTACTCACGTATAAAATTAAATATAATATATGGTTTAATGATATGTGTAGTTGTTGTTATGATTAGTTAATTTTAAAAATTTATTTGCGTAAGATTTTAATTTCTATCATTGTATTTATTTAAAACATCAAACATTGTTTTTTTAAAAGTAACAATATAATTTTTTTTTATATAATGTTACTTTTAACTATTGTTGTTATAAGTATTTTAAAATAACGTATATATAATTTGGTTTCAGAAATTTAACTTTTTTTAAGATTTATTTGATGAATATTGTTAGTTTCTTTGATTGTAATTATTTAAAACAACAAACATTGTTTTTGTTTTTAAAGATAACATTATAATTTTTTTTATATAATTTTACTTTTAACTATTCTTATTGTAAGTTATTTTTAAGTTACTTATTTGAAAATTCTTAATGATTATAAAAAATATTTTCATGGTTTTTTTGTTAATTTAGGATTGCAATTTAGGTTAACACTATAATTTAAAACTTTTAATTATTTATAAAATAGTCTCTCGATTTTTTTCAAGTTTAACTGAAATTTTGATTTAAGTTAACTGTTCAACATTATGTTGAAACTAATAATTTAACTATTTTGCATAAAATCATAAAATTATACAAAAGTTGTGACTTTAAAATGACAAATTCTCACATACAACATATCTAAACTAATAAGTTAACTATAATATGTTAAAAAGTTAGTTATAATTTTATAAATAGAAGTAAAATATGATATTTTAATATTGTAGTTTAGTTAATTTATGATTTGAATTTAGTTTTTGCATTAATTAAACATTATTAACCAATTTGTAATAATTATTAGAAAGAAATTGAAAATCTATGGTGGTTTCAAATGCATGTGGTACAAGTAAAAATGTCTCTTTTATAAGTATACTAGATGAATTCGCGCGCGTTGCGCAGCGTAGGTTAAAAATATATTGTTAAAATATTGAAAAATATATGTTTAAAATGGTTATGTTATTGACATTAACTTTGATATAATAGTTTGAACAATATTAATGATTGACATCAACCCACATTCCTCATTAATAAAATTAAATATAATTATCTATTTAATATTATTTTTAACAATTGTTATGATTGATTAATTTAAATTTTTATTTATCCGATTATTTTCTAATTTCAATAATGATGTTCATTTAAAAGACAATTTATTTGTTGTTAACGTTATGTAATTTATAAATTGATGTTATTGTCTTTTAAAATTATTGTTCTTTAGTTTTAAACCACTTATTATTATTAATAAGTTAAAAAAGACTTTTAAGAAACACTTAATATTACTATTAAAATGTGAAACATATACTAAATAATAAACTGATAAGATAGACAATTTGCATTTGAAATGAGACTTGCATGGATAATATGACATATCCATGATTTTTATAATTTGATTTTATTATTTATAATTATGGTTCATTAGTTTTAAAACCACTTATTATTATTAATAAACGAAAAAAAAAACTTTTAAAATATACTTATTATTATAATTAAAATATTAAACATATACTAAAATATAAAGTGATAAAATAGACAATTTGCATTTTAAAAGAGACTTACATGGATATTATGGATAATATTGCATATCCATGATTTTTAATTAATTATTACTTTGAAGCAACACAAACATACAAACATATATACAATATTTAATTAAATATTATCAATATCACTTTCCATAACATATGATCAATAACGTGAATCTAATATACTTTACATTAAAGTTTCAACCACAACATACAATAATTGTCTTAAAAGAATACTTAAACTAAGAAGAATATAAAAAATAATTAGTATATAACAAACTTACAAATTAAAAACTTTAGCATAATAACATGGCTAGAAAAATGGTCCAACGCCCTCAAACCAA